GATCATGATGGCAGGTGGCCCGACATGATGATCACACAGTTTAGGATTCTTTAACTTATAATCATACACATGTCTCTTACAGTCAGGATGGACCAAAAAGTAACCAGTTTGGACAAAGCAATTTAAACAGCAAATGATAAAAACAAAATCTTCCCTCCCGTTCACTTTCCATTTCCAGAAAGTTCTTAATATATCGGAACGTTTCCTAAATGTGTTAAGCACATGAATATAATCATTACTGTCATGTTAATAATTTCTTAATCAATTGCCCATTGCACCATAGATTACTCTCATAATTAAACTCTCCATGGTGGGATAATATTAAAAAGACTATTAGAAAAAATGTAAAAAAAAAAAAAAACCCTGCCAATATACTCTTTCTCTGGCAACAGTAGATTTCTGAAAACATAATAATGAAAAAGCATATGTGTAAGCTGAAGATATTTTGAAAGCATTGACCTGTGTAATATCATGTGACCTCAATGCAGCCTTGTTTCTAAACATGGTAGGGACACTCTGAGCAGTACAGGCTGTGACATTGCACCTGACCTAAAAACCTAAGCATATTTGAGGCTTTTTCTTTTTTTTATATGAATAAAAGCATCTTTATTTTTATTTTTTATATGAGTATTTTTTTTTATTGAGAAAAGAAAAAAAACAGTCTCTGCCTCCCAGTCTCCCAATTCCCTCCCCCTCCTCCCAACCTTCTCCCTCTCCATTCCAAAGAGCAGTCAGGGTTCCCTGCCCTGTGGAAAGTCCAAGGTCCTCCCCTTCCGTCCATGTCTAGGAAGGTGAACATCCAAACTGGCTAGGCTCCCACAAAGCCAGAACATGAAGTAGGATCAAAACCCCGTGCCATTGTCCTTGGCTTCTCATCAGCCCTCATTGTTCGCCATGTTCAGAGGGTCCGGTTTTATCCTATGCTTTTTCAGTCACAGTCCAGCTGGCCTTGGTGAGCTCCCAATAGATCAGCCCCACTGTCTCAGTGGGTGGGTGCACCCCTCGTGGTCCTGACTTCCTTGCTCATGTTCTCCCTCCTTCTGCTCCTCATTGGGACCTTGGGAGCTCAGTCTAGTGCTCCAGTGTGGGTCTCTGTCTCTATTTCCATCCATCACCAGATGAAGGTTCTATGGTGGTATGCAAGATATTCGTCAGTATTGCTATAGGATAGGGTCATTTCAGGTTCCCTATCCCCAGCTGCCCAAAGAACTAACTGGGGACATCGCCTTGGGCTCCTGGGAGCTATTCTAGGTTCAAGTCTCTTGCCAACCCTAAGGTGGCTCCCTTAACTAAGAATTGTGCAATCTTGTGCAACCACTCTGGAAATCAGTGTTTCGGTTTCTCAGGAAATTTGGGATCAACCTACCCCTGGACCCAGCAATACCACTCTTGGGAATATACCCAAGAGATGCCCTATCATATGACAAAAGCATTTGTTCAACTATGTTCATAGCAGTATTATTTGTAATAGCCAGAACCTGGAAACAACCTAGATGCCCTTCAATGGAAGAATGGATGAAAAAAGTGTGGAATATATACACATTAGAGTATTACGCTGCGGTAAAAATCAATGACTTCTCGAACTTTGCATGCAAATGGATGGAAATAGAAAACACTATCCTGAGTGAGGTATCCCAGACCCAAAAAGATGAATATGGGATGTACTCACTCATAATTGGTTTCTAGCCATAAATAAAGGTCACAGAGTCTACAATTGGTGAACCTAAAGAAGCTAAATAAGGTTAACCCAAGGAAAAACATATCGTTATCCTCTTGGCTATGAGAAGTAGACAAAATTGCCGGGGAGAAAATTGGGATCTTGGGGGTGGGGTGGGATGGGGGTAAGGGGAGATGGGGAGAGAAAAGTGAGAAGTGGAGGATGGGGGAACTTGGGGAAACAAGATGATTGGGATAAAGGAAGGGTGGATAGGGGAGCACGGTGGCTTTTTCATATATTCTTAAATACATTGCTTTTGTTGCCCTTATTTAAATGCAACAACTTAATATTAAATTAAATGGATAGAAACTCAAAGCGTTTTCACTAAAATCAGGAACAAGACAAGGCAGTCTACTCTCCATATCTGTTTAATAAAACTTCTAGCTAAAAACAATAAGGCCACAAAAAGAAACCAAAACACTAATGATGTCTTATGTTGGAGAGAATGTGGAGGAAGAAGAGCACTCCTCCTTTGTTTGTGGGAGTGCAAATGTGTATAGCCAGTTTGGAAAACAATATGTCAGTTTCTCAGAAATTTGGGAATAAATCCATCTCAAGACTCAGTATTACCACTCTTGGGCATATACTCTAAGGATGTTCAATCATACCACAAGAACACTTGCTCAACTATTCATAGCAGCATTACTTGTGATGACCAGAACCTGTAAACACTATTCATAGCAGCATTACTTGTGATGACCAGAACCTGTAAACAACTGAAGAATGGATGAAGAAAGTGTGGCACATTTACACAACAATATTACTCAGCAGTAAAAAAAACAATGACATCATAATATTTGTAAGCAAATGGATGCAACTAGAAAACATTTATCCTGAGTAACATAGCCCAGTCCCAGAAAAACAAACATGCTACATACTCACTCATAAGTGGATAGTAACTATAAAGCTAAAGATATCCAGATTACAGTCCTTTAAAAGGAAACTGCTCTTCAGGTGTGAAGCTAGGAGAATTTTGCATTTATATCTTAGAGGCATACACACATATTGGCCACATAAGTTTCCTAAAGCAAAACCAGGACTCAGGGGTGCAGAATCCAGAGGGAACCTGACTGAACTTCAAAGAAACTGACAGGAAATTGAGATCATCTTGATACAACCAGATTGAAATTTAGTCATACGTAGAAATTAAAACTTCTGAAAACATGTGCCTCATTTGGTTTTTGATGGCATGTTCTTTATCAAGTTTTGAGAAAAGGTCACTGTATTTTATGCATTGTTGGATTTGGAACGTTCCAGAAGACATGTATGCCCAGAGTTTGGTGGTAGCCAACAATACATACATGTCTATGTAAGAGATATAAGCTATAGCATACACCGTGCCACTTTAATAATCTGTACAAACAAAAATGGTGAAGTTTTTTGTTTTGTTTTTTACTCTTTAGACAATATTATTTTATAGACAATGACTGGTTTTGTCCTCTGGGTTTGTAGAAATAGATATGACATTCCTGTGACCAGAAATAAGAATTGTGTAATCTAATTAGATACTTGTGTGAACTAGATTTATCTTTAACTTATCAGAACTTCAACTGGCACACCCTGTGCAATATTAGGCCCCACTGCAGACAGAACTGTCTTAGACTATATATGCCATGTCCATCCTTTTCCTTCTCTTTGTAGTAAGTTTGAGGAGGCATGCATACATTGTTCTTAAAAGCAAGAATTAAAATTCCATCAATAAGGGTTCTCAGCATTCATGGTTTGAGAATAGTTATAAAATAAATGATGGTTATGTTGATTAGAAATATAAAATTACCCTTTTCTCATAAGAGGTTCTTCAATCAGTTAAACACTAAATTTTAATGTAAATCAAGGAATTTGTCTTTTATGTATACACACAAGAAAAATGAAAGCAAGTAAGTTGATAATCCACACAAAATATCACGGCATCATTATCTACCAGAAAAACATTAGAGAAACTCTTAATATTTACCAGAAAAATAATAAACAAAATTTGTTGTAACAGTCAAACTTAGAAAAGAATACAACTCAGTCGGGCAGTAGTGGCACATGCCTTTAATCCCAGCACGGGGGAGGCAGAGGCAGGTGGATCTCTGTGAGTTAGAGGCCAGCCTGGTCTACAAGAGCTAGTTCCAGGATAGGCATGAAAGCTACAGAGAAACCTTGTCTTGAAAAAATTTAAAAAAAAAAAAGGAAAGAAAGAATACAACTCTCATATCTAGTACATAATTGATAAGTTTTAAAGGATACTAAGAGAAATAAATCAGACAGGAAGAAAAGCTATGATTATGTAATTATATGATACATAATTGTGATTTACAATTCATGAGGTACCTAAAGTAGGCAGTTCTACAGACAGAATGTGGAGTAGAGATGATTAAGCCAGAAGCAGCTAGGGAATAGAATCTGTTTGCTACTACAGAGAAATTCATGAGACAATGATGACCTTTACACAACTTTGAGAATTCTTTTAATGGTATTGAATTGAATACTTGACATAGTTAAAATGATGTATTGAATGGTACATTAAAATTGTAGCTGAAACTATTAAAAATGACAATTTTCATTCTCTCTGTGCTTTACCGTAATGAAAATTTAAATTAACAAATACCTAGTAAAAATTATTGCAAGTATTCCAAAAATAATAGAGTTTAGATTTGTTATGTTTGAGAATATTGAAAACAAAACAAAAAATGTGATTTCAGTCTCTTACCTCCCCCGGTCAATTGTTAGTGACAAGAATTCAATAAACTTCTTGGGTATTTATTTAATAGTTTACTTACCTTATACATGAGTAGTCTTGATGACTAAAACAAAAATGCATAAAAGCGCCTCACAAGCCCGGCGTTGGTGGCGCACACCTTTAATCCCAGCACTCAGGAGGCAGAGGCAGGCGGATCTCTGTGAGTTCGAGACCAGCCTGGTCTACAGAGCTAGTTCCAGGACAGGCTCCAAAGCCACAGAGAAACCCTGTCGCGAAAAACAAACACACAAAAAAAGTGCCTCACAAAAGACCAGTATCCACATGGATATAGGCAGTTCTCACTGTATAGACAGAGGCTATTATAGCTTCTTCACTGAAATGCATGTGTTGGTCCTATGTTAATGCGACAAAATTCCAAACTGTAATGATAGTCTGATAAAGTACATGAAAATTAACACTATTTTATAATGGCATTTATAGATATATTAATGTATTTTGGGATAAAGTAACTGATTCCTCATTATAAAAGCAAAAATTAGTATTAAAATGAGCATGGCTTAAACACACATTGACTATTATTTTTTTTTCTATCCATAGTGGTTATGTCTTTGACTATGATTACTACAGAGATGATTTCTACAATCGGTATGTGAATTTTTCAACCCTTTCTTTGTAATCTATATTATATTCTATTTTATGCATTTTATTTACTGAAGCTATTAATTAAATTCATGAAATAACATTTTGTGATGACAAATTTGAAATGTCAAGTTTGTACAACTGTGTCATAGATACATCTTCAATTTTTGTTATATTTTTGACATGCAGTAGATATTGCAATTAGAGCATTACAGTTAGCTAGCACTGAAATTTTGTTGGTAGTATTGAACAACATATTAACCATCTAATTATTTTCAAGATCAACTGGTGATTTAGAATTATGAAAACTAAGAGTTATTTTGGTTCCAAAAGAAAGATGAGAGAGAGAGAGGGGGAGAGGGAAAGAGGCAGAGAGGAAAAGGAAGGAATGAAGAAATGAAGGAATGAAAGGAAGGAAAGAGGGAAGAAAGAAAAGAGGGAAGGAAGGAAGGGCAGCAAAATCTAAAATTCATCTGCTCTTATGATTCTTTGAATTTATTTAAATCAGAAGCTTAACAGCGCTGTACAATTTGACTCTGCCCTGAAAGTACACAGACAAGTTGCAATAATATATCATTTAATGCTTTAAAACAATACTTTAAAATAATTGATCAAATTTAAAACAAATTCTCTTGAGAATTTAATTCATATCTTTAACTAAGACTTATCAGAATCATTCTAGATTATAGACATGTGCTTTTTCATCAGGTGACGTAGGATGAGGAGCAAGCATTGCCTTGTGCTCTGTGAGCCACTGTGGCTCCTATGGAAGTTATATCAGCGTCCGTGTCTCATCCTAACTGTGCACGGGTTTTCCTCCAGTTTTTTCCATATGAAGTTCTCGATTAACATCACTTTTCCCCATAGCTTCATTTGTTTCCTCACATCATATACATTTTCATTATTGATAGCAGCAAGAATCATTTCATTCATTTCACTGGGTCTACATATGGATGTCTTCAAGGAGCATGCTAACACGTTTTTGCTCAACTGTTTCTTTAATTTGTCCATTTACATTTTGCTTCTATTTTACTTTCAATGTTATGACTCTAAAGTTATTTGAAGCACCAATTATTTCTATTTATTATCTGCTTTTGTTAAATGCTATAAACAGCTATAGCTCCTTCTGCAGTGTAAGGCTGATCATATTTGCCTCCCTATCTTCATGAGCACAATAGTGATGTTAACTTGTGTTTGGCTAATAATGTATACTTAAATTATGCAGCTCACTAATCTCATTAAAGACACAGGGTCCTTTTGTTCATTACAGATCGAGGTAAACTCATAGCTTGGTAATTCATACTGATGCCAGCATACTTCATGTGAATTCACAGGGGAGCAAAAGTAGCTCCAACTTGTATGTGAGGTTAATGTAGCCCAGAGCCTGTGTGGGGAGTGAGTTCAGAGCTGGATGAAGCCAGTTATCTCTAGTTTCTCATGTAGGCAAAAGCTGTTCTGAAGAATATTTCCCTCAAATTGTTTTATTTTTGACATTTAATAGCTTATAATAATGCGCTCTGAAACCAATGCCTACATCTGGCAACATTAAAATAAGTCCATCCCCTACTGAGAATAGACAGTATGGAGATAGTCTTACATTTATTGAAAGCCTTAACTTTTAATAGTTTCATAATTATTTCCCACTGGAACTCTTTTAGTATGGAAAACATTGTTTTAATTGTTCTGTATAAATTCTCCTCTGATATATACTTTTCAATAGGATATCAAAATGTCATTCCATTGGTCCCTTTTTTTACTGTTCCATTCTATACTTAATGAATTTCTACTTAAATGAACTTTGTTTTATAAGGTAGGAAATACATTTCTGTTTTTCTAAAAAAATCAAATTTGCAGTTGTCTCATTTTTTAAAGAAAAGACAAGATATGGGGCTTGTAGGCTCTGTAGATAAAGGAGCTGTGCAAACCTGGTAGCTTTTGTTCAATAACCAGGACCTACAGAAAGGTAGAAGGAGAGAATAAAAAGAAAGGACTGACTCCACAGTGTTGTTTTTTGACCTCATTGTGGCATATGCCTCCTCTATCTAATGCACACACACACACACACAAACACACACACACACATGCCGAGAATAATTAATTAGCTTTGTTAAGAATATAAAATATCCATTTTACTGTTTATAAAAAATAGTTATCCAAAACAGAAGGCAAAATAGACCTTAGTTTGCAAGGACCAAGAACCATAAACAGTAAAAGGATTATGGAGAATGAAGCTCTCTGAAGACTCTCCACTGCATACAAAAGCTAACAACAGCCAATTTTCTGTTATTTCTTTGTCTTATATACAATCTACTTGGTTTCTAAGTGAGCAATAGATCATTATGATTATTTTACTAACAGATTATCTGAAAAGTGTGTTCTTTCTCTCATTAGTTTCTCTTTCCTTTCTTGAATACTTGGCCAAGAAAAACATAAGCATCTGCCATCAGTTGCTTAAGCCCTTATAAACCCAGAATTCCACAAGTTAATCAGGGGAGAAAGGATGGATAAGATAAATAGAGCTGGAGGCATGGCAGCATTTAAACACAGATATTCTGCTCAAGCTACTCTCAGCTTGTGCTTTTATGGAACTTTTTCCAAATATCTTGTCCAGTACTACAAATTGAGGTGTTATTTAATACTGCAAAACCTGCTATCTGGTCATGATCATTTTTAACTCATAAAGTTAAGAAATAACTAGCAATAGTACTAGTGTGTTTTTAGTACTTAAGCAATGAAAAAGGCCAGTATAAATTAAAAATTTTAACAAGAATAATAAGTGTGTTTTATATTGATATTTATGTAGCAATGTCTATATATATGAGGAATAAGATAGTGGCACAATAGTTCTTCCTTTATAGACCATTCTTACACCTTGGAGAGGCATTCCATCTACAGCTCAACACATCTGCAGAGTGAACATTCTATTATTATTCCTAAGACCGTGTTAAGAAAAGCAAGAATGTACACTATTTATGTTTAGCAGAGAAAAATTACATTTAAAAAAACTTACTAAATAAGAATTAAGAATCTGAAAGAGCAAAAACATTTTGGCATAATGGAATTAACAATTGTTAGAAGCAGGCACTTGCTGTTATTAAAATCCACCATAGAATAAAGGCATTGCTGAGCTGAAATTATGAGTACAAATTTCTACTCAGGCCATTCCACAGTACTTCTGTGGAACTGGGACTGGATTTCTAAGGAAGAGACATAGGCTACTGGTATGGATGTCTTTGACAGAGTGTAATGAAGCAAATTCTGCCATTTTTGCCAACTAGATTCTTCTGTTCCTTTTGGGATAAATCATGATTACAGGGGTAAAGAAACCAAACGAAACTGGAGTGATGTTGATGATGACAATGACTAATAAAATGCTCATTTTCTTGTTCCATCTTGAATTCTTCAAATTTACTGATTAAAACAGGAAACCAGATACTCACTGTGTAGAAACATGATCTTGGAGAATCACCACTCTACCTATAACTAAAGGAATGTCACATTTCAGAATCAGTAGCTTCTTAAGTGACACATAGATGTTCATATTCCCATCTAACATTTTCATGTTTAGGCAACCTAATGTAATTGAGTCATTTGAACCATATATAGTTTTATCTCACAATTATCCTGAGTAGTACATTATAAAAGCAAAGCTCAGTTATTATTTTCCAGTCTTCCTTCAGTGACATTTTCTTTTCAAACACAAGTTGGTTGAATTGAGTGCAGGCAATTGTATAATGTGAGAGCCATATGGTACCAAGTACATTAAAAAGAGATTTGCTTCAAGTATGCTGAATACTCCAGAGAATGTCTTCAATCTCTGGAAAATTGGAAGCTTAATCCAATTCTCATTTCAGTTCCACCAGAAAAACCACCAAGTGCATTAAAAACTGCTGGTGAAGAATGAAGTACTGTTAGAAAAAAGAAATGTCATGGAAGCAGGAGAACCTGTACACTGTTAAAATGATTCCACATGGGCATGGCTCAGTGCTGGAACATTCTGACCTAGTGTTGCTGCACTAAAGAAATGTTACTATGGTTTTAGTTAATGAAAAAAAGTTAAAGTTAAGTTGTTTCTGAGCATCAACTGTAGAATACAACATATATTCATTATACTGGAAAATATGTTACCAAAGAATATTGTCTGTCTCATTTGCAAACTTAAATTATCGAGTGATAGAATGGTGTCTTAATTTACAAGCATAGAAATAATAGTGTGTGTGTCTGGGAAGCTCCTGGTCTGCAGTGAGAAGATAGGAAATTGACATCTAGACGCTTATGTGGCAAGAGGTTAATTTTGAGAAAAGTGTCTCCTCTATGTTTTCTTTCATGAAAAAAAAAATTAAATCCCAACCTTATTAAGTAAGAAGTAGAATTAAACTATTTTAGTGATTTTTCTTTTTACCTCAAATAATCAGATGGACATACTGCTTAATTATCTAATGTTACATATTAAATAAAGCAGATAACAATGTTGATTACACTAAAGTAAAAAGTCTTGCAGAAATGATCACTTTAATTTGCAGTCAATTGCCTTTTAAAAGTTTGGTCAAGAAATATTTACATATGAACAAGAAGGAAAGGAAGCAGAAAACTTTAGAGAGGTTTAGTAATTAAAAAAATAAAAGTAATAAAATCACCAATATCCTGATGAATTTTAAGAATAATTTGTTTTGAATTTGTATGTAGTACTTATACTTAAAGTGGGCAGTTTACCTTGTTTTGTGGACTCTAGTTTCCGCAGTCAATCATGCTAAAGGTAGAATTTAGGGATGAAATAGGAATAAACAAAGAGAGTCAGTCCTCTGGGTGTTTGTCATGCATATGTTTCCAGACATCCTGGTGAGAAGCCAGCCTCTGAGCAGCTTTTATTCCTTACTAAAGATGCTGTTAGCTGTAACTACATAGCAACAATGAATTTGACTCATGTAGAAAAAGAAGTATTTCAAAAGGGAAATTTAGGATCAAATGGATATTTATTAAGAAGTTGTTGAAATTGTTTCTGAAAA